GAGGTAACGTACCTTGTTCCGTACGCTATTCGCCGAGACATTCAGAAGAAAGGCCGTGCCGTGATTGACTAGAATCGGATCGTGAGCGCCCATCAATTGCAGTACTGACACGATGGTGCTACTGATGTCCTGCAAGTTCAAAGAATAAAAGATGAGGTTCGACAAAATCGGAAAAAATTCAATTTGCCACCACTATTGTTACTATGTTTCGCTCATCAAGTCATAGAGTATTTGGATGCTAAATGGCCCGTAAGTAGGAAGATTTCCGAAAAAGAACGTTTTTTCCTTGGTAAACACTACCCTGAAATCCCCTTTCGGCGTTGTGAGAGATATCTGATTAGTAGTGACTCATAGTGATAGCTGATTTTTGGTAAATGATAGTTGTAATTAGTGACAACTGATAGAATACAACTGCAACAGGCTAATCATTTACATTTTGTGGAGGCCGTCGTCACTTGTGGTGTATGGTCTGCACCCGACGCTCTTCTCGTTTTTGAAAAGGAAGATACTTGGGTATGTTATCTCGAGTTATCAAAAATGAGTGCTGCATTCCCTATTCATGCCACCTACCCAACAGACAATGCCTTATGGTTAGACAGCGCAATTCAACGCGTTTATACTACTTTTCAGAGGTTTCCAAAGAAAAATTTCCTATTGACTGCCCGCGGGCACCTAATTGTGAAAAAGGAATTGCGCCGTATAGCCACAATATGAGATTTGTTTCCTAGGTCGCGCAGAGACACTTCTTGCTCACCTGAGTTTCAAGAGCCTCCTTCAGATCTCCCACAGCTGCTAAACAATGAAGGATTTCATGCAGTAACATGGTGGAGCCGTGCGACAGAAGATTGCCCAAGATCTGAAATAGAGACACTCAATAAGAACTTTCGAACTTGCGCCACTTCGCTGGTCGCTTAATCCGCTCTTGAATTCCAACGACGTGCAAGTAGATTCAGCAAAACATACTTGTACTCCTTCAAGCCTGACGAATTCAATGCCATATTTGGCAGACTCGGTCGAGATAAGGGTGAGCAGGGTGGTGGCACTCGACCTCAGCACTTTCTCCTCGTGCTCACACGACATGAACTCCAACAGTTTCTCCATTCCTTTACTACGAACAAAGAAGTCCTGAAACCGATTTTAAATTTTGGACAAGTGAAGCGACGAGGGCGAAGGAAAGGGACGAAGATCAGTCTGAGTCAAGAAAGGCACACCTTGAGTGGTAAATTCCGTGTGATGAGCATTCGGATCGAGTCGATGATGAGGGATTTGTGAGAAGACGACGTCGAGCCCAAAATGATCATCAGCTGACGGACGAAGTACTCGTTTCTGCAACACAATAACCTGATAAGTGGGGTGAACCATGCAATCACAACGGCGCCGATAAGTTGGCAGTGGAGCATGCAGGTTCCTCTTTTTCAAATATACACCCCGGTGCACAATAGATTGCACCCTATAAAAAACTTAGTTTTTGAGAGAGGCCGAAACTTTTATTGATTCTGCTGTTGATATATTTCCTGGGGAAGTAGATAAATAATGTTGACACAATATTCAGTTAGACACACTGTCTTTGAAAATTTTTAGAGTGAAATATTGATTTTTTTGGCGGTGCACAATAGATTGGACGACTTGAGATATTCAATTTTTCCAACGACCTTTTTCCTGCTTTTTAAGTTCGAATGTACTCACGTATTATGTGAAGTATACGCGTTTCATAAACGAAGCCTGGATTCGCACTGAAGCGTTACTTCTTCTTGGCAAGGGAAGTCTCCAAATCTCTAAAGAACCCTCCATTCCTAGGAATGCAGTTGCAACTGTGATCAAGAATCATTCTTAAACTGTTCTTGAGAACAAGATGGTTTGGAAGTCAACTGTTCCCGAGCGCGGCAGGCGCTGCTTGATTAATTTGGCATTGAGTTCCACAAAGGTTGCCTATGAATTGGCTGTCGCTTGCGGGATTGTCGTTTCGAAATGGACCGTGTCTCGTATGTTGAAAATATCGGACCACATAGTTCGACAATAAATAAAGCCAACACTACGCCTGACTCAATACCATCGACATAAGCGGCTCCCTCTTGCGAGGGATGAGGATTGCAGAGATTGGGCAGCGGAGTGTTCTGGGCATATTTCCAGCTTTATGTTAAATTTAAATTTCTCATTTCTATTTTTCCTACGGTAATTTCTTTCGATGACATTTTGTTCGGCGGAGGTGAGTAGTGTTAACGGCACTCGAACTGGCGCTCTTGCAGAAGTGAACCAGTACTGGTGCTCGAAGCAACATCTGTGCATTCTCCTGAATGGTTTGGTGGGCGTCCTCTAGTGATGGTAGCCTTGACATTCATTTTAATTCTTGTGAATGAGAAGCCAGAACTATCAGTCACTCCTCAACATCACGCTGGTACCTTTCGTTTCTTGAGACTTCAAAAAGCACTTCATCTTCGGGCAAAAGAACACTTCGAACCTAACTTCGTGAAGCACTCTGTCCCACTTTCAATCTAATACCAACCCATTATTTTCTTCGCCGGCATGTAATCCTGATACAAACCTATCGGGAATACATAGGGTATACTGATGCGTAAGATCTACTGAAATGGGACAGCGTATGACAATGTGTAACCGGCTAAGAAAAGGCATTACAAAGGAGTGGAAAACTCTACCGCCTCTGCTGCTTAGAATGCGCTGATTTAAAATCTGATTCCAGCCCTAAGCTCACAGAGAAGAAGGGACCCTTTGCTCATACTTAGATGGGAGGAGCAGACTTTACGTCTTGTTTTTTGATCCACAATACATATCGTCCAATCTATTATGCACCGGCTCAAAAAGTGAAAAATTGTTGTCACGAACTTTGACAAAGTCGTAATGACAAAATAAATATCACATATTATTCCTTCTCTATTTTATATAAACCAGATTAGTCCCCCGTCAACCGCCGGGACCTTCCTTTCCTGCGCAAGCTTTCTATCCTCCGCTATGGTCCCTTCCTCCTGTGACACCAACACCTCCTGGAAGTGACGCGTATGCAACACAATGGTGTTTCATACAGTAGAAGGGACACAATCATGATATGACGGTAGATTTTTCGCTTCCCTTCCATCCTCCCTTCCTCTCTCCACTGCCCTCCAGCTGCCACTGCAGCACCATGTGGAATGAACGGAAGTGTGCTAAGCAGGTGTTTATATAGCCCTAAGAGTGTTATCACAACCTGCTACAAAACATTGATATCTCAAATCCTGTAAGCTACCCGATTTGTTAGCGGTTTGTTTATCCCATGAGCTTCCTTCTCACTCACTTCATTTTGCGGACGGACACACATACATACATACACACACACACACACACTCACACACACACATACAGATACACAAACCGACACACAAAGTTAGCGCTTTATATAATATTTTTCTAAATATAGTGTAGGCAGAAGCAACAAAAATTTCGGGCTCTCAAGAAAATTAGGTTTTCTATGGGGTGCAATCTATTGTGCACCGCGGTGTATGAGGCTGTTATCGAAACACACGTCATCACCAAAGAGGTTCAGAAGGTTCTTGAACTATACAAGTTAGAAAAGGGAATGATGACTTGCAGCAGACTATGGTAGGAGGTCGGCGAAACCGTTTCTGAGAGAGAGCCTGTGTGAAGAACGCCGTCATGTTATACTACTTAGCTTTTGAAGTCAGCATTCTTATGCTTTATGGAGTTTCCCGAGAAGTTTAGAGATCTTCGAACCTTTACCGACACTGCGCCGAAACCTCGGTACAATTCCTTTTTCCGCAAGATCGCTGTGAGGCGATCACGGTCCAAGCGGTGAAAGGATGGTCAGGCCTGAAAGGTAGGGACAATATGTGATGATCGAAGGACATTATGCGAGCGCAGGAACACAGAACTCACATCAAGTACTTGGCGATGATATGCACGAGGATCTGCTGGATGTAGCGGTTCCTGCATGACGACGATAACACGTTCGGCAATTGAGGATGTTGAAGATGGACTGCATCAATTGTGTGATATTCTGAACGGTATACTCCATTACCATTTGAAAGTAGATGAAACAGCCTTCTGTCTTAGTTTACTTGTGCCTTACGAGGTTGTTACTTGGAACGTTTATACAATGGCCTTATGCTTTGACTGGATTGTCGCTTTCTGAGGCATGGCCGTGTTTCAAGTGGTACAGGCAGGTTGAGGTGAGGTTGTTAGACAGTCTTCTGTCATCTAACGAGTACAAGTGTTAAAGTCTAGCAAGTCAAACCACCGCTGTCCTTCCGCACCTGTTCAATGGTGTGTTCGAGGACGAACTGCAGAAAGTGACAAATCAGCTCCCTGAGGGTCGCATGATTGGAGACCATCGCCAGCAATCGTTGTCGAGCCATACTCTGCACAGAATTCGCCGCTTTCCGCCGGATTTCCTAAAGCAAATTCTCTTCATGCACATGATATTGATAAGCAAAACTATAAAGAGACTGCGCTCACCGGGTCCTCATGCCTAAGACTCATTATTAGTGTGTTTACTTGGCGATTAATTTCGAATATATTGCTCGGATCGATGTTCTCCACACTTGATGCGCCGGATGTCGGTTGATATGGAGCATTCTAAAGTGACATACTACCTTTTTCATCTAGATTTAGATATTTATGAAATCTGAGCGGAAATCAGCACAGTGACAATGGGCATCATTCACGCTGTTGAGAGGTGAGATTTAACCCGGATCAAGCAAACAGTTCACCGTAAGGGATCTCACTCATTCCAAGCACTCTCGGAAAAAATCCAGAAATGAAAAATAAAATACTGAGCGTTGATCAAAACCTGTCTGGGATACGTCACTTGCCCCAAATTATACTTCACAATCACATCTGGTTGACAGATGTAATGACGTGCAGACCTACAAGCCTATGTTTTTCACCACCCCAGTGAAATTTGGTCCCAATTAGCCGACCTCTGAAAAACGAAATCCTTATCCTTGCCTAGGCTAGGCGCAATAAAACTCATAACACGATGCCCACCTCAAAATGATAAAAATTCTGACGTAAGAATCAGTCGTTTATGAGACATTGCCACTCCAGGACTGATCTTTTATACGTTCCAGAACGGAAATTTAGGATAAGGTGCCTGTCGGCTTTATTCTTTCATCTGTGACTAATGAAGAAGCGCGAAAGGAGTCTTCAGGGTGTCGAACACCTTTGAAGAATACTACTAGTACCGGCTACGTGTGCAGAGATTACAGCACGATGGCAACATTTCGGCGAGACAGTGTTAAATCTTTTAGGAGAAGAACAACAGGTAGAAGCGTAGAAGTAGATTTTGCAGTCATCCACAATTTTGTGAAAGGTATGCTGTTTGCGTACTTAGGAAGCCTTCTTTG